CTAGGTTGCAAGCTACTTCTTTTTCTGCATTTGATTCGAGATATAGCCAATTAGCATTTCTTCACAAACTTATTTCATGTTTACTAAATTTCCTCTCATGCAGATAAATGGTTGTGGATATTTCTACATTTTTTTGTCTGTAGGTAAGTTTAATGGGTGACTTAATATCTTTTATTTTTATAAGGTATTCAGGTTTTCGAAGTATATCAATGAATAATTCGTTCCTCTTTATTTAAAAACAACATGAATTATGTATATGATATTAAAATATTTATTATATGCACATTTTAATTTATATGTATTTATTAATAAATGTATTCTAATTTTAGAATTGGGTACGTTCTTGTAATAAACTATTCCTTGCATATAGTCTTTGGCGGCTATTTCGGTGGTTTTTACCATATATTTGTTACCAAGATCCCGTCTTCTTGACTTCGTTACTAACTATTAGGCATCAATATGTTACTAGTTGACTATTTATACTTATGAAATTGGTAATGACAGTTAATTTGCCTCAATTATCCAAGGACCCTCTTGATATTAATCAACGGGCAATCGTCTCCAATACTAATTCTTTAAATGAGCTACAAGAAGTTGTGGATGATGATACACGTTTATCTTATAAAGCTTTTGCTCCAACGAAGTCAGTGCAGGCATTAAAAAAAGCAGTATATAGATTGTATTGCTATGAGGACTTTACTATCAACGGCAAGCTTGGAAATGGTTACTTCGCCACGGTTTGGCTGGTAACTTTGGATCCGTTTTTAAACATTATAGGTTAATTATCGACCTAAAAATATGCTTATGGCATTAAAGCTGTCTCATGAATCTTGCTTACAAAGGAGGGAAATCGAATTGCTTTCCACATTGAATCATAAAAACATATTAAGGTAATACCTTTATCAAATTCTTGCCATTAATCAAAGTAAAATTATGAATCTTTGCTTTTATATTTAATTTTTATTTGTATTTATAGTTTTATCTGCCTTTTTGGGCCTTAAAATGTTAGTCATCATCACTTCTGAAATATAAGCTGTTTTGAATAAAGTATTTTGTCCTCCAACCAGTCGCAAATCGAGTTATGGGCATATAAATTTTTTTACAGAATGTACGGCACTTGCATTATCGGAGGGCGTCTCGCCTGTCTTACTGAGGTACATTTTAAATGTCTTAAGTCATAATTTGCACTTTACTTTTATATCTTTTACGTTACTATTTCTTATTCACCTATTCTTTATCATATTTAATTTAAGTTCTACGTTTTCTTATTATTTTGATTGGTTGCTTTTACTCTGACTCGATATTATAATTGTAAATCTGATTGTTTAATCTGGGAATCGCAACTTTTTCTATTTTAAAAATAACATAACTTTAAGAACTTGGGATCCCTACTATGTTGCAAGAAGATTAAGTTACTTAGAATTGCTTGAAATAGAAGCATCCTTATGATTCAAGTAATCGATCGTGCGCGCATCATTTATCAGCATTAGACCATCAAAAAACCTTGTTTTACTAACGCCAGCAACCAAGATTCCTATCCTCTCTACAACGGATCATATGTCTTCTCTTGTCTATCCAAGCATGATCTATCACTATCAGTATTTGTTATCATAGTTACACTGGGCTTGGTTGAATAAGGCTTGATATCTGTAATGCATAGGATTATATAGGTATAAATGTGGTTGCAGTGCCTATCATGGGGACAGACCAATGGACATTCATAAAATGCTAAAGGTGAATACGTCTTCATATTCCATTTCGCCAGAAGGCTATGGTGATCGAACTAGACAAGCTAAAGCAATTAATTCAGAGAATCTATATTTTGTATTTGTTTATGCTCCATATATAAATAAGATGTTACATTAATTTTTGCTTTTACTCCTTTATTATTCAGACTTAAACATTCGTCTCAGATTATGTTTGAGGTTCCGAAAACCATTATAAGCATAAGGGTAGTGTTGAGCTTATAAGCGCCTTCCAGATGCCTGTTTCGTATTCAAATCTTGATCTTATTTTTTTCGAAGTCAAATTCTCGGATCTGCTCAACCTTTTTGTTTTCATATTTTATTTTCACTTGACCTGGCTTTCGGAGCTTAGCCATATTGTTCTGGAGATCTCGATTAACACTTTATGTGGAATTATCTCCTATGGTAATCATGACAATTTCCAGTGTCGCTCTATTGGTCTGATACAGAATAGCAAGGTTCACTAAAAATGTCAATGGAACGTCTAGGAATATACTACTAGATAAAATGCGTTTATCAAGGTCTCCCAGATAGCGCAACCAAGTTTTGAAGATCAGAGCATAACACCTATATATACAAAGAAAGATAGCTGTGACCAAAATACATACCACAGCACCTT